CCGAAAATGAATTTAATCAAATCAAATTTGGCGAAGACGGCATGCTGGAGAAAAGAGGTGGCTGTGGCGAAGACTGAAGACGCCGCCTCTCATATAAGAACAATATACCCCCACGAAATGGAAAATTGAAGAAAAAAAAACGATTGGGCTCAAGGTACGAGAGCCCAAGTCAACCCCTTTCACCCGGCCCTGTCCAGCGCGTGTGTCTTGAGACATGTTAGGGTTGATTGATACGTTTATTTGGAATCTACGTGCGTCGAACAGTTCAATTTTTTCTCATTCCAATTTAATGATGTCTTCTGGCTTATCACAACCACCCAAAGACAAATCTGCTACAAACATAAGCAGCGTCCATGATTTTGGCGGGTAAAAAACAAACGAGAACTTCTTTCAAACAAAAGCAAAGACTCATTTAAAAATTAAATCTCACAACAAGGAGTTCAACATTTATTCGTAGTACACATAATTATTCGACGAAAGTCTTGCTACAGGCTAATTTTAAGGAACAACAAAAAACTAAAACAAGGTTTCACAAGACTGAAAAAAATAATATGTACGATGAATAAAAAAAAGGGGGGAAAAATGTCGATATATTTGTTTGAATAGAAGTATCTTATCTTATCTTATAATGAAAAACACTTGGGCCAGAAAGAAGGCTGCGCTTCGATACGACGGCTCCGCTACAGATTCAACTTATTTAAAAAAAAGCTTGTGAGATATCGTCTTACTACAATGGGCTCTTTTATAAGGTGATGAGATTTCTTAGAAAACAACAAATATTACAAAAAATCATGTCTCAAAATTCAATGCAGCCAAAAAGAAGACATGTTGGAATTCAGTGTACTAACCACGGAACTGTGCGTTCATATTGAATGTAGACTAGTTTCAATGTTTAAATTGAATGTATAAAATAGGTTTAGCTTTTCTATAATGTGTGTAAAAAAGAGGGTATGAAATAAAATCATTTAAATGGTCTTTATTTTTATATACCAAGGTTAATTTTTATTTTTTAAAAACGTGAATTCTTACGTGTAATTAATTATTTAACTTAACGTTATCTTTTCTAATTATAAATCATAATACGTGTTTATTTTATAATTCCTCTAATTTATACATGCAGCTTCTTATTCAACAAGAAAGACACATACATCTTCAATGGCAATTACAGTATTCTGCTTTATCTCAAAATGTCAAACAATATGTGAGTATTTGAATCAATGTTTAAAATGGTATTTAAAAATGAGTGATGTGCACTGCTGTCTATAGGGAGAAATGTATCTCTTATTCTTAGTTTATGTCTTGTTCTAAGCAGTGCATAACAAAAGATGATACCATATGGGATGTACAATATATATATATATATATATATATATATATATATATATATATATAAAAGAATGAGAAATAGTGACATAACGCCAAAGGGGATATACGATTTAAGTACTATCGGATTCCTAAAAACAAACATATTTATTATCTTTTACTTTATAAAAAAAAAATATAATATATGATATATAAAATATATATATATATATATATATATATATATATATATATATATATATAAAAGAATGAGCAATAGTGACATAACGCCAAAGGGGTTATACGATTTAAGTACTATCGGATTCCTAAAAACAATCATAGTTATTATCTTTTACTTTACGGAAATCGAATAAATTTAAATGCTCAATAAATATTTTAAATCCGCTTTTATTTGAGTAAAAGTTTAAGTATTATAATTATCAATTAAAATTACATTTAAAGTATCCAATAAGGAATTATTGCAAGCATTTTATCCGAATGCAAAAGTTATGAAAAAAAAATTAATTTAAATATTAAGATCTAAGAATTGCATCTTAATCACACTTATCGGAAAACCCAAACATCTGTAAATCTTAGTGCGTATTTTAGTGCGTTGTTAACATTGCGAAAGAAAAATATTTTTTTTTATCTACATAATTACGCAATGGCGTTATCGTGTGAAGGTCTATTTTAGCCACAGCTCCAAGTTTGTTTGATTTAATAACCATGCATAACAAAACTGATAATAAAAATAATAGATGGCTTTTAAAATAGCTAAAATTTTCTAAAATTAAATACAAATTTAGCTTTGTATTTTTAAGATTTAATAAGTTTTTACATTTTATTTGTTCTAAAAAAACTTTTATGAAAGTTATAAAGTAGTAAAAAACTTAAACTTTAATATACTTGTAATACGACTATGCCATTTAATGCAATCATTGCAGCGAAACTACCTTTTCAGAATAGCATTCACTGATACACTTATTACTCATCCAAATAAGAACAACGTGTGTGAAATGAAACAAAAAATTGTTTTTACGTAAATAAGGGGGTCACAATATCGTGGAGTGGATAATGTTTATTTTAAACTCTGTTTGGTTGGGACAGGGGGGTGGGTGAGTTAAACGATAGTTTCAAAAGCACAAGGCAGCATAAGATAAGCCTCAGGATGCAGCACAAGATACGCCTCGGAATGAAGTTGACAAATAATTAACCTTCTTAGGTACATATATATTGGGGGTAAGAAATAGGGCGTGTACAATTTTACGTGGATGACACTATCTTTAAATATAATGATGTTACCGTTGTCAAAAATAAAGGATATATTCTTATTTTACCAATTAACAAAATCACTGACGTTAACAAAACGTTAGTCTATTTACAAAATAATACCCATGAACATCAAAACCCTTCGTTTTACACAAGCGAAAATTTAATTTAAAAAAAAGAAATGGATTAAGACTTTCTTAGATAGATAGATAGATAGATAGATAGATAGATAGATAGATAGATAGATAGATAGATAGATAGATAGATAGATAGATAGATAGATAGATAGATAGATAGATAGGTAGGTAGGTAGGTAGGTAGGTAGGTAGGTAGGTAGGTAGGTAGGTAGGTAG